CCGATCTAGAAAGCCAGTCCATCGAAGAGTGGGGATGAGCTCTATCCACATTAGCTACCTCCCTTGTACTTGTAGGTACTTGTACATCAACTCTACTTGTACGCCCACTTGTACTGGTACAGGGGACTTTTCGATTGGTTTGACTCGCTGGGTTTACCAAAGCCGGGGTAAATAGATAACTGCAATTTTCATTGGAGATCAAATGCTATGTTCACTTTGACTAATATGTGCAGTCAGGAAAGGTGATGGGGCTGTCTTTGTCCTATAATGCCCTCGAAAGTATGCATGTATTTCTTCTCCCTGGCACTCCATCCCTCTGTCTTCTCGCCGCCACCCCGTTGGTGTTGATAATGCGTCCAATAGCATTTCTCCTGTTGTTCAGACCCTGGTTGTTTGGGTGTGTCTATTGAAAGTCATTGCTGCCGCCAGGAATTATGGCCGTATGTTTCTGTGATGAGATCAAACCCTCAAAATCTCTCTCACACACTGCTTAGAAAAGCATAAGCCTTATAAGAAGCTGCCCAGAACTTAAGCATATCACACGCGGACCCTGCCGCGCGACGTGAGGGAGAATCCTCTGGTTGAGGCAACTGACTGGGCCGAGTCACTGCTTCTTCGTCACAATATCAATCAATAGGCCTCTCAAGTGATGCTGTAGCTTGGCCCTTCACCACCTTGGGGAGTCTGCCAGTTGATATCTTGATCTGGTACTTTGATGTCACATGTTTTGCAATGAATGCAGCTAGTAGCGTCAGTGTAAGTATGATATCGAAAAGCACCGTGCCAGGGTAAAGGGGACTTACTTCTGAGAGTTGATCTGAAACCGCACCCCGATATCTTTGGTGTCATCTTCGACATACTCATAAACACCGGCAGGACAAAACCTGTTCTCGACGCCTTTGTACTTCGGCCACTCCTTTTGCGCATGTGCATCCCAATCCTTCACCTGCAGATGCACAGGCTGATCCTCCTCGTGATTGGTTCCAGTCCGTGAGACGCTAGTCAAGATATCAAAGGTGATTTCGCCATCAGGTTTTGGATACTCGATCTTGTTGAATTGGTCGGCGGGTTTAGTGGCTGCCCAGTCGGGTTGCTTGTGCTTCAGAGTCCAGGGCATCATGCCTCGGAAGACGAAAGCCTCCAAACCAGAGTACATGATGCCACCATAAATGCCGAGAGGGTTGTGGAAAGAGGGTCGCATGTTGCGCACGGCTTTGAGTTCAGGCCAGATCCAGCTTTCCCGAAGGGCGTCCTCATAGTTGTACAGAAAGATAGTGCTTGTTTCGCTGTTGTTTGCGAGAGCCTGATACGCAGCTTCAGCAGCCAACATGCCAGATTTCATCGACGTGTGCGTGCCCTTGATCTTAGGTACGTTGAGGAAGCCAGCAGTGTCGCCGATCAGGGCACCTCCGGGGAACGCACATTTCGGTATCGATTGGAAGCCACCTTCGTTGAGAGCGCGAGCGCCATATGCAATGCACTTGCCACCTTCCAGAACGGACTTGTAAAATGGATGGAGCTTCATGCGCTGGAATTCCCCGTAGGGAGAGATCCAGGGGTTGGCATAGTCGAGGCCGACGACCAACCCCAGACTCACCATGTTTTCTCCGAAGTGATACATCCATCCGCCACCATAAACGTTCTTCGACAGCGGGTACCCCATGGTGTGAGAAATCTGCCCCTTCTTGAACTTTTCCGGTTGGATTTCCCAGACCTCCTTGAGTCCGAGCCCATATGTTTGCGGCTGGCAGTCCCTCCTCAGATCAAACTTCTTGGACACTTGCTTGGTCAGGCTGCCATGGCATCCTTCGGCCAGGAGCGTAACCTTGGCATGGAACTCCATCCCTCGCTCGAAGCTGGCTTTCGCCTTTCCATTTCGTCCCACACCTTGATCATTTGTGGCAACCCCTTTGACTGCGCCTTCATTGTTGTAGAGAATCTCGGCACCCGCGAAACCGGCATATATTTCGACGCCCACCTCTTCAGCTCTTTCACCCAACCACTTGACAAATTGACTCAGAGAAATTATGTAATTGCCTTGATTGTGCATCTGCGGAGGTGCCGGTATAGGAATTGCACTTGATTTTGTCAAGAATCGCATCTTATCTGACCCGGCAGGTGTGGCCTGCGTAAATCGATTTTCATTGTCCTCACTCAACCAGTCCGGGATCAACTCGTTTATAGCCCTGGGTTCCAGCACATTGCCGGACAGAATATGTGCCCCAACCTCGCCAGCTTTTTCCAGAACGACAACTCGAAACTCTTCATTCCCCGCGTCATTGGCCAATTGCTTTAATCGAATGGCAGCACTCAGTCCCGCTGGGCCAGCGCCGACGATGCAGACATCGACCTCATCGGATTCGCGTTCAACGGAGGCTGGGTCGAAGCCTTCGTCTTCTTCGACATCGGCGTAGCGTCGCTGCAAGCTAGCAGAAATGGATCGCCTTTGGCCTGCAACAAAAAGTGGTCGTATGGCTCGTGACAGGCTGCGACCAGCTCGACGTGAGGCGGGGGAAGCTCTGAATATCGAAGCGGAGGGTCTGGAGTAGAAACGATATTGTTGAGCAGGTGTCGCCAGCCGCAACAGAGGTCTAGGGAGGGATTTCGAGGCCATTGCGAGGTCTGGTGGTCTGTAAGATCTGGGTGCGAAGCTGGGGACGACGGTGGTTTTTGACCTGAGGCGATAGGTTTGGATGGAAATGCTTCGGCGATTGAACTTCTCGGTGCGAAAGACGTCACTATCGACAGCGGTTGGCCTCGGCCCTAGGGTTCAACCACTGCAAAAACTCTCGGCTACGAGAATCGCCCACCAATGGATGCCCCTGCAATGCAAATCAGTCTCTCCATCTGCCCGTCAAAGTCTAGCTCTGTTTTCTCTGTCAACTGTCGCCTCTGGGGCTGTCAGTGTAAGCTCTATCAAGTTCTGAAGCATTGTATACAATCTTGCAACAATGTACTTCCCAACCAGTACAATGTCTTGTAGCTGCTCTGTGCAGGGCCTTATCGGAGCATCAGGCGGATCTATGACACGCATCCCCTGCACTGCCCGCTAACTCCGGATAAGGTGAGCCCTCGATTTAATGTACTTTAGTCATGCGGTGGCTTTATCCAGGTACTTCATCCTCTTTGTGCTTTTCTACCCAGTAACTATCAAAATGACAGCCTATGCACGTGTGGGTGCCTGTACAGGATCCAACAAAGGGATCGGACTTGCCATTATCCGCCAGCTCGCACTCCAGTATCCGCACTCTCCACTGAACAGCGGCCCCTTACTCATCTACCTAACTGCGCGGAACGAAGACAAGGGGAAGGCGGCTCTGGAGTCTATCAAGGCAGATCCCCAACTAGAACACGCAAAAGCTTTGAGATCTCATGGAGGGCTCACGGATGTGAAGTTTCTCCAACTGGACATCGACAGCAAGCAGAGCATCGAGGAGTTTGCAGGCAAGATCACGCAAGAACACCCCGAAGGCATAGATTTCTTGATCAACAACGCCGCCATCGCGATGGATGGATTCGACGAAAACGTGGTCCGGAAGACTCTGCACTGCAACTATTATGGGACGTTGGATGTCACGCAGAAACTGCTACCACATATCAAGGATGGCGGCAGACTGGTCAATGTGGCCAGCACGGCAGGCTCACTGGACTCCAGGTACTCGAGGTCCATTCGATCTCGATTCTTGCACGCAAAGACACCCGAAGAGATCACCCAACTCATGGAAGAGTTCTCGACGGCGGTGTCGAACGGGACTTACCAGAAGAATTGGCCCGAATCTGCGTACGGTGTCTCGAAAGCTGGCGTGATAGGAATGACAGTGGCGATTGCGAGGCAGACTGCGCAAAAGGGTAGCAAAGTCCTGATCAACAGCTGTTGCCCAGGCTACGTCAACACGGACATGACCAAAGGAAGGGGAGTCAAGACGCCCGACCAAGGAGCGCAGACGCCCGTCTTGTTGGCCATTGGAGACATTAAAGGTGCCAACGGGCAATTCTGGTCGGAAAAGAGGGTCATCAGCTGGGAGTGACGGACTCTATAGAGGTTCCTGTCCTGCCCTAGTATAGAGTTGGCTGGCAGAAGAGGCCCAAATCGCAAATTCCAACCATCTTCTGATACCATGGCTTCGTGGGCATCATGGACGTATATACAACAGAAAACAAAGACGGGTTGAGCTCTACGTGCATAAATGAACATGAGAGAAAGACCGAATTCCGAATCTTGGTCCGTCCATCGCCGTGCCTTTGTCCGCCGAGGATTTGTTTTCTCCGACCCCGTAAGCAACCTACATCCATCCCTGCATCTGGGGAGCTGGAACGAGCCTCATAATCCAGCTTCAACGTACAACCGCACCATTTCGCCCGAACAGTAGTGACGAATCTGTCCACTTCTATTCTGATTGGACACAAACTATCCTCCTCCGGCCTGGTCAATATAACAACCCCAACAACGAGGCCACGCTCCGTGGCGCAAAACAGCCAAGGTAAGGCAAGCTCGATGCATAAACTCGGTGTTTAGGTAAGTTTTCCCCAAGAGTGCCAGATGCATTAAATTTCGAACAAGGAGGGAGGAAATAACGAACAGGTATCTCCTCGATCTTGCAGCAAGGCGAGCATGCATAAACGTTTACTGGAGAGAAGATAGGATCCAGTGAGCGGCGCCGTGGAAAGGTTTGTTTTGGTCTTTTTGGGATATAAAAAGAGGGCATGGAAGACCTGATCTTGTCAAGACCTTGGATCTGTGTGGGTGGTGAACCTTTGGTCAAGTATAACAATACACGGGGAACAATACATACATACAGCACAGACGCCTCAAGACATCTCAGATATCTATCGCAACACTACGCTTTTTTTTTCCCTTCCATTGAAGCCAAACCTCCCCTCCCCCTATCCGGAAAGGATCACAGCCGCCCCTTTTTCCATTCATTCATCCTTATTTCTTGGTTTAAACAACACACGATCATCTCATCTTGAGAGAGAACCCCGACTACGAAAAAAAGAAAATGACAACCCGCTACGCCGAAGCGCACGTCCCATCCAAGCTTGCCGGGCCGGGCGACTCACGCCCAATAGCCCTCCAAATCATCGCGGACAACCGGCTGGAAAACGCGCTGAGCGACAAGGTCATGCTGGTGACGGGGACGTCGGCCGGGATCGGGGTCGAGACGGTGCGGGCGCTCGCGGCCACCGGGGCCAAGGTGTACGCGACGGCGCGGAACCTGGACAAGGCGCGCGCGGCGCTGGGCGACGACTTGCTGCAAAGCGGTCGGGTCGAGCTGCTCTTGCTGGACACGGCGGACTTTGCGAGCGTGCGTCGCTGTGCGGCAGAGTTCCTCGCGCGCGAAACCAAGTTGAACGTGCTGGTCAACAACGCCGGGGTCATGGCCGTGCCAGAGCGGCAACTCACGCGTGATGGCCACGAAGTGCAGTTCCAGACCAACCACCTCGGCCATTTCCTGCTGTTCCAACTCCTGAAGCCCGCGCTGCTCGCGGCGTCGTCCCCGGCATTCCAGTCGCGGGTCGTCAACGTCTCGTCCATCGGCCATCGCCAGTCGCGCATCGTCTTTGACGACCTCACCCTGTCGGGCCCCGGCGTGTACACCCCTTACAAGGCGTACGGACAATCCAAGACGGCCAACATCTACATGTCCAACGAGATCGAGCGGCGCTACAACACTCGAGGGATCCACTCCTGGTCCCTGCACCCGGGCGGGATCATCGAAACGGGCCTCGCCTCGCACATGGACGTGTCCGCCATCGTCGCCATCCCCGAAGTGCAGCGCTGCCTCAAATCCGTCGCGCAGGGCGCGGCCACCACGGTCCTCGCCGCCGTCGACAAGGAACTCGAGGGTACCGGGGGCAAGTTCCTCGACGACTGCGCAGTAAGTCCGCCCTTCCCGGAGGGCGCGACCGATGTCCTCTGGGCTCCGGGGTATGCGCCCTGGTGCTATGACGTCGACGACGCAAAGAGGTTGTGGGAGGTTAGTTGTCAAATCGTGGGCGTCGAGGATGATCAGTAGTGAACTTTCTTTGACTCCTACATGTGTACTTGGTTGGTTCTGGGCCCTGTGAGTGTGGAATGACTGGTGTTGACTGCACCTTTGCTTTGCTCTCTCCGTTTGAATTTTGGAGGATCGAGGATCGAATGCTTTCTAGCGGAACCTCCTCTTCACCATCCAGGGATTCAGATGCTACAGGACTAGATCTATAGTGTGACTTTCATCTCGCACCATTTTCCATTTTTGGATTTTTTTTTACTTACTTTCTTCTCTCTATACTACCTCTCCACTCCGTCCACTCCATCCACTCGTCCGAGATCATTCTTGCACGGCCAGTTGCTTCCTGTTGGCACTCAACCAGACCACACGTCTTCGAAGGGCTCGTCACTTCCTGGCCATTCTTCTCCTTCTCACCAGATATTGATTTGCCCGTCGTCACAAAACACTATGCCACATCGCTCTAGAGCAATGTGCCATGGCTCGCTTTTACTTGTTCCTCTTCGCCAAACCCTTCGTCACCTCCATCACCTTCTCAACCATACCAAAGACATAGCGCATCCCGAAGCTCCATTTCTTCACCCTCACGGTATAGATGAAGAAGTAGACGAGCAGCCAGTTTGAGCACACAAAGACCAGGAAGATGCCAAAGTCACGCCACTGCTCGTTCGGCTTGGTGTTCAGCGTGGCGAGATACTCCCTCCCCGTCGCGTATGGACAGTATGCGCACGTTCCGTTCGCGAGAGTGCTCACATAACCCAAACCTGACGAGTCAATGAACGGTTGCGTGTACGACTGGCAGGTCTGGCCAGGTGGGGCGTTGTAGAGCGTCGATTCACCCGGCGCACAGCGGACTGTCACGTCTTTCAATGTCGCCGCCAGCACGCCACGCAGCCACCACGTGGCCGGGTTCACGTAGTACATCCAGTACCGCCAGAACACGGGCAGCTGGCTGTAAGGCCTCACGATCCCGTTAAAGATGGAGACCATGACGAAAAAGAACGGCAGCGTGTTCGAAATCACCGTAAACGAAGGGGCAAACGCACAGATCCACTGGCCCCAAGACGACATGAAGAAGTAGAACAGCATGGTCATCAGGAACATGTACCCCGCCGTCTCGCTGTCGCGTGGCAGGCCCGTCGGATAGTACCACAGCAGCCAGTAGATGACAGCGCTGATGATGGCCGTGGGGACTTCGGCGACGACCTGTGCCGTGCAGAATGCGAACCATCCGTAAATGCGAGATGGATATTCACGCGCTTCCCACAACGCGCGGCTTTGATAGAACTTGGGAACGACACCGTTGACGATGGTGGGAGGAATGACGATGATCAGGAAAGAAGTGAAGAACCGTTCCTGCAGCGACGCAACTGAGTCGTCAAGGTCGTAGAAGGTGAAGCCGTTGAAGATGCCGATGAGGACGCTGGTGAAGAGCTTCGCATACAAATATGACGGGTCCCGCCAGTAAGAGCGGAAGGTACGCTTCGTAAGCTCGTAGGTCTGGAGTGGTATGGGAGCTGCAAAAGCGAGCTGCTCCTTGACCTCCTTCGGCGGCTCCTTGGACCGTTCTTCCTTCAGGCGTTGAATCTCCTTGAGCATGGCGGCGTTCTCTTCTGACTCAAGCCATTCTTTGTTCCAGTTGACCCGCTTTCCATCTGCTCTTCTCTTGCCTCCTTTCGCAGCCGTCTCGAGAATGAACTCGGCCACATTCTTGTTTGGTGGGCATTGGGTACCTCGTTTGGCGAAATACTCAATCACAGCCGCTCCATTCTCCCCAATGGGACCAAAGTAAAACGGGTTGCCGCCCGGGTTCAGGGCCAAGACCATATCAAATTGCTGGATCAGCATCGAAGAAGGTTGGTGAATGGTGCAGATGATGGCTTGACCCGCCTGGGAGAGTTTCTTCAGGAAGCGGACAATCGAAAAGGCAGATTGAGAATCCAGCCCGCTGGTCGGCTCATCGAGAAACAGCAGCAACTCCGGCTTCGCAGCCAGTTCCACCCCAATGGTCAATCTCTTGCGCTGTTCGACACCCAGAGAGCCGATGATGGCGTCCTCGATGTCGTGGAGTTCCAGTAATTCGATGATCTTATTGACATAGTCGAGCTTCTCCTGCTTGGGCACATGCTGATCTTGCCTCAATATCGCCGAGAACTCGAGAGCTTCACGAATGGTGGCAGCTTCATCGTGCAAGTCCATCTGTTCGCAGAAGCCGGTCCCCCGCTGAAACTCGATCCCAAGAGGACGTCCGTCGACAAGCATATCCCCTGAAACAGTGCCCGTGGTCTGCCGCTGCGAGAGGGTATTGAGCAAAGTTGTCTTGCCGGCCCCCGACGCACCCATGAGCGCAATCATAATTCCGGGTTTGACGTATCCGTTGACCCCGTTGAGCAATTTTCTCGTGCCACCTTGATATGGAACTTCGTACTGGACATTCTCCCACGTGAATACACTCTTACTTTTGGCGATGCTATCTACCATGGCGCCCGGCTCCTCCTTCATCATTTCCGAGGTGCCGCTCGAGCCCGGGTCCGCAGGTGTCACAGCCTTTTCTTCATCCATATGTTTGGTCTCTTTGCCGACCATCCTCTTTGCTTTGCGGGTTTTCTTGAAGATCAAAGCACCACCTCCCCCTCCAACAAATGAGAAGATTTCAGAAGCGAAGGCTGTGATCAATATATAAAGGACCGTAAAGGCGATGACCACTCCGAAGTTCCGCCAGAGATGTGAGCGCGAATAGCCAAAGGTATTCTCAAAGTAAGCATCGCCACTGACGCTGCTGCTGCCTAGAGTCGCTCCGGAAAGAGAACATCCTTGATAGCCCGGTTGTGCGTTGGGTCCACGGGGCACCAAGTTGGAAGGAGAGCATTCCATCAAACGACCGTGGAACTCGTTCGTCAATACTGCCTCGTACGAATATGCAACCGGATTGATGTAGAACAACCAACCAAACCAGATCACATCGCCGGTCAAAATGGTCTTTGGAATCGTATAGCCGACGAAGATGACCAAGAGATTGAGTGCGAGGCCGGAAAATCTAACCGCATCGTCAATGGTAGGACTCAAGGCTGCAAACATCCGATAGAGTGCCGTAATGCAAATCGTACTGATGTACACGAAAAGGAGAGTGATGAAGAACTTGCCCGCATCGACATCGAGATTAGCCATAAAGTAGAGCACTACCGTGAAGACGACCGCCTGGACCGCGACGACCGGCAGGTCGAGAACGACTCTAGCGATAACCACAGCGCTAGGCCGATAGAACGCATAGTCGCGATGTCGTTCGATCACGACACGGCCGCTGACCGCCCTCACCAACTCTGTCAGTTGTAACCAGCCAAGGAACAGAATGGAAAAGAAAAGAGCGCCACCTCGAGAAAATGCGCCGCTGGTGTCGAGGCTTTCTCCATAGAATAAGGACCCGACGATCAGAGCGTTTGAAATGATAATGAAGGCCTTGGTGTACAGCGTCGACTTGTCACCCCAGAAAAGCCAGAACTCGCGCAGTGTACAAGCCATAACTTGCCGCCAAAAGGAGACGGTGTAGCTGGACCGGGGTGAGATGAGTTTACTGTTGCTCTTTTGTTCCTGAACGGCTGCCTGGAATTGTCTGGTATCGGAGCAATTGGAAGCCTTGATTTCCTTTTCGTAGCTTTCGACATCGGCGAGCACCGCTCTGTAAATGTCCGATTTGAGATACGCCGCCTCCAACTCTTGTGCAGTTTTAGGTGTCGAAGCTTCCATGCCACTTCGGAATTGCCGCTCGTTAGGGTCGCCCACTGAAGTCAGGAAGTCTGCTGTGGTTTGTCGATCGGGGCAATGGAATCCCAGGTCAATGAAATACTGGCGTGCTTGCTTCGCCGGACCTTGGTAGATCATGCGGCCTTGTTCGATGACCAAGACCTTGTCCATGAGCTCATAGATGCCCTCACCTGCCTGGTAGAGAGTGACAAAGGTCGTTCGATTCGAAATGTCAGTCATGACGCGGAGCGACTTTGCATAATCCAAAGCGGTGGAGGCATCCAAACCACGCGTCGAATTGTCCCAACAGACCACCGTTGACTTTGTTGCCAGGGTCTCCGCGATACCAACTCGTTTTCGTTCACCCCCGGAGACACCTCGTATGTACTCGTTTCCCACTAAAGTGTCTCTTGTGTGGGAGATGCCAAACATCTTCAAGAGCGCGTCGATGATGATGGGGATGGTGTTCGCATCCTGTTTCTTGGTCTTGTTCATTAACGCAAACTTCAAAGTCTGCCACACGGTCAAAGTAGGGAGGTGCTGATCGTCTTCGGGATTGTAGTTGACTTCGCCGCGGTAGCTTCTCTTTTGTTCTTCGGCCGAGATGCCCCCGTAGGTGACCAGGCCTTCAACACCAGCGAAGGTTTCCCTTTGGTTGGCAATGACCTTGAGAAATGTGGAACAGCCTGACCCTGGACGACCGAGCACCAGCATCATCTCGCCATCGCGGACACTGCCAGTGAAATTGTGGATCAAATCTCTGGTCAGAGGTGGCTTGCCGAATTTCAAAGCAGGGACAAATCTGGTCACGAGACGGTAGAGGTCAGGTCCAAAGGTGCCCACGATTGCCTCTGGCAGGGTTTTTGTGAAGGTTGCTTGAGCGCCCACTCCCTTGACGGTCAGGTTCTTGAACACTACTCCCACCTTCTTGGCCGACTCCCCTGCCTCGGTGCGTTTCTCGAAATGACCATCCTTGAGGAAAGCGCCCAGATCCAGGTCATCCTCCTCGACCGGTTCCGGGCCTGCCTCCTTGTCCCAGGTCGCATCGGTGGCCTCACTGCTGGCTCTTGAAGCGATTGTGCGGGTCCGAGCCATCGACGGTCGAGATCGAGCTCTGGAGAGCCAAGTCCTCGCTTTTTCGGCACCGGAATCACGGGTTGCGGTACGTTGCAGGCTAAGTCTGGAGATCTCCCTCCGGATCTCCTCAAACTGGGCCATAGCCTCTTCTCGGCTGACAGGGCCTCCGATATCGCGTTCACCCCATGTCCCCTCGCGCTCCTGGC